TAATAATACTGCCAGTTTACCAAAAGATACTGCGCAACTGACGGCGAATACCATCTTGTCATTGGCTCAATCAACACCTACTGGACATCTGCCATTCTATCAGCATCGACCTATAAACAATCTTTTCCAAAATGGTAAGTCGCATCTCTACCTTATGACCTTATTTCATACTCAAAGAATTCTTACTTTTCGATTGGTCACCTCAGATTTTTGTATGTATCCGTGTGGAGAAATTAGGCACAAAAATGTGATGGGATAATAATGCTCAAGGTTGCATGAAAAACGAGTAGCCTTCGAATCCTTTGTTCTCAGCGTGTTTACCCTCATCTTTTCCGTCCCTATATGGTCATCCTTGCAAAACATGGAACGGTGACAGAACTACCTGAGAATAACCACATTGCGTATCCTGACCAATTGGTGACAATCGTCTCCTGTAGTTTCGTTGGCCCACTCCTTGGTCAATGTACGGTGCGATAAAATAATGATCCTCAATCCACAAGTTTTATTTACAATTCGTGGAAAAGAAGACGAATTTGTGGTAAAATAGTCTGGTCAAATCGGTCCTCCCCCATTATCCGAGTCTGCGGCAGTTGGAACATATTCTCCCACATAGAACATGCGGGACTTCCTATTGTTTGGAAGCCAATCCAATTCTGATCGTCTACGAGCTAGTGGCGACCGTTATTATCATTATTATATTTCACACCCATCCAAGGCCAGACTGTGTGCCAAACAAAGCATGGTACAATAATCTTTATAAAAAGAAAAACGTTCCATGATTTACACGTGGGCCAAATACTGCCAGGTTGCCCAGGCCAAAGCAGGAATCCACAACCGGAGCCTTTGGTTAGCCAAACCCTGACCCGCAAGGTTGCGGGGCGGTGTGAAAACCGCAATCCATTGGGAGCCGGCGTCCAGTTCATCGGATCATACTCCCTTCAGACGGGGTCAAACGTCCAAGGTGCCCAATACACCTCAATACCCAATCGAGCCGGTAACCACAACCGGGAAGGTGTGTGTGGTTCGTGCACCTCATGGTTGGTTTGGAATCAGGGATTTTGGCCAACTCCCCTAGGTGAACTACCAGTGGCCCACCAACCCAGTTATAGCCCCGGATGTCGGCTTTTCGTCCTTTCACTTTGGTGGGAAAACATCTCCGCCACGAGAAGGCAGTGGGCTGAGCTTCTTCAGCGAGGCTATCTGAGACACTTGGTCACACGGGAGCGNGGGTGGTCAGCCGCAAACCTAGACACCCACCCCCGACCATAATGAGGCCTTCGGAGGCGACTGTTGAAGATCTCTTAACTAAAGCCGTTACAACGCCACCCGGGGCATTTTGTCCTTCCCCGTATGTGAACTACTAAGTCGGGACAGCTGATTATTCTTAGTACACATTAGGCTATCATCGTTATAGTCTCCTTCACGTCTTGTGCTATTCTGTGATATGCAGCCTTTACAAAGACTTCACCTTCGATCGATCTCCAATATCAGAACACAAGAATATCAAGGAGCAACCTCCGGTGCATTACATTCATGAGGGGATTTTTTGCAAAGGTTGTACCGTGACTTGCTTGGTGCACAACTACTCACAGGGCAGTTCACTCAAGTCGCTAGGCTACGGTTATCGCCGTTGATAACACCGACTCTCATGTGAACGACGATATTCTCATAAGTTTTCACAGGCCTTGGATCAAACGGTGCGTTCTTCTGTTTCTATATGAGTGTTCAGTGTATCGCCGATTTAGCGAGCTCAATACAAAGTACAGTGTTAGAAACAAATCATTATTTTTTGTGCATAACCGATTACCCATCACTGGCTGATAAGAAAAAATCAACAATGTCCCTCTAGGTGATAGAATATACCATAATTCATCCGGATTATTAAACTTGATTGATTCATTGAATCCAAATAGTGAATGCAAATGGGGCAGGTGATTCGAATCTGGACCGAATGAGTTTTGTGGGTACCCCCCTCCTTGGTCTAGTTGCCTTATTCCAGTTCAGTTAGATTTTTACTTTTCTGTTTTGTTAGGAACTGACGACATTTAGCTATCTCTCGGTGATTGTTCATCTCGGTCCACATTAAATTCCCAGGAAGTCTATTTCGGAACAGAAATAACCGACAGAACGATGACCTTTTTCATGATCCGAATTTGAATGCTATACCTCAAATCTCAGTGGTTCACTCAGATGATTCGCCAACCTTAATCAACGCCCTTCTGCTACAAAAAATAAGTACACCCCATAGCCACAGTTTCGTAGTGGAAACCGACAACCGACCTAGATCATGGCGAGCTACACCCGACATGGGACTGGTGTCGTATATTGGGCTGAGCGAATGCGAAGGTGTCTACCAGCTAAGTTGAGTGACGGCGTTCGAGATGGAACTGCGGGTCAAGCCGCTTAACAGTTTGTTGCGAATAAGCCATCTGTTCCGCTTCGTCTGATCCATTTGAATTGAAACGCGGTTACTGCCACCAACACATTAAACTCAAATTTAATTCCGCTTTTCCGATCGATTACCATTAAGTGCACATTCCTATTGTGAATGTTAAAATGTTAATAACACAACGATGTCGGTATAGAATTATATTTTCCGACGTTTCGGTTACCGTGGATAACATCGTTGTGTTATTAACATTATAACATTCACAATAAAACAACACGTGGCTCATCGATTTTCCGATACACTCCTAACATCATTTGGTCCTAATGCTTTAAAAAAGCACATTCCTACTGTTTGGTAAACGCTCTTTCGACCACTGTTAATCGACCAGTTTGATCAGAACGAGGTTACGCAAAACTTATTTTGGTGCCTTTTAGGACCAATTTTCACTCGATTTATTGTTGGTATTATTATCTCCTTCCGCACACCGTTGATTCCGTTTTTTGTCTTTCGCGGTAGTTATCCGCTGTACGAAAACGATCTACCGGTCGATTTCCATCCTGAGATCGATCTGTATTTCCAATCGATTTGCCGTGAGATGTATAAAAATTTGCAAATGTTCGTTGTTTTCGGAACCGCGTGAGTCGTCACAAAGCTATTGAGCTATTGAGCAAATGAAGAGGTGGAGAAAAAATGGAGTAACAAACCGCAAGCATTGATTAACCACAGGGTCGTTTGTAATCATCTGCGAGAGTGAACGTTCCCATGGTAAAGACGAATCATGAATAGATTCTACAAATGCGAAAGTTAACTGTGCTTTGGTCCGTTGTTCATTGCGACTCTTATTCCAGAATATATATATATATATATGTATATCAGGTTTGAGTCAAAAAAACCACAATATAATAGTCTTTATAAAAAGAAAGTGTTCCGTGATTTGCCTGCGAGCGCGATACTGCCAGGTTGTAAAAGGCAGTTCAGAAAATGTATTGGTTTCTTTCTGTGTTCTTGGGTTTGATTTCCTATTCTAGAAGTGGTCAAATTAAAACCTGGCATGAGGTTAGGAGAATTCGAACCACGTTATTCTTTCCGGTATCAGTCTGATGACTAGTCAAAGACACTGAGTGTTGTGGACAGTGGCACTCTCAAATTTAGTTTATCTGCCTTCACTTTTTTAATTCCACCTTCTACGCTTTCATCCGAGTGGTAGCCAAAATACAACCAAAACCACCGCGCGAAAGTGAAATGTTATCTGTTGTATGAACTTGACTTATTTTGCGATATTTTGCCTCCAGCCAAAGTTTTGGTCTACGGCATGAAGTCATCTTGTCTGGTGATGAAGCAGTTGAGAACACATCTGATTTGGGGAAAGAGAGAACGGAATGTCATTCATTATGTTGGGTGTACCTGATTCCAGGTTGGTCTAATATTCTACTTAGAAGAATGCTCTATATGACTGCCGTATCCAGCACGAGGCGTTACCAATGTTTGAATGCATACAGTACGACCATGAGAACTAACCTCAGGTTATTTCACTGGTTTCTGTGCACTTCATCGAATTTTCCCATGGTTCGTCAGTCTTTTGCTTCATTGAGGGAAAAGTGGTACAATCCTTCAAAGTTCTAATCTTTTCATCGCTTTTTTATCCGCTCACAGTTATAACTAATTCCATGGCCTTGAACGCAGCCGCTCGGGATAAAGGTCGTCATCGGAGTGGGAGTTCTGTGTCTTCGTCGGATGGTGGTCTATTCGCCTTCAATCACTCTGATTTAACCTCACCTCCATCCGGGACCGCCCGTCCTATGGTATCCGCGGCTAACACATGCACAACATATCCGGGTCGTGGAACCATAGTCCCCGGGACACAGACTCTTGGTAATGCTCTTCGGACCGTCCACCCCAGTGGAAAAACACAACCAGCACGCCTTAATATCAATAAAAAATTAAGTGGTTCCATACCGCAGCAGCAGCAACATCAACCTACAGCCCTAGGCACTAGTTCGTTTATAACAGACCGAGCTTCCTCACTTGGTACTTCAGCACTTATGCAGGATACCTCATCCGGACATCCCATTCGAAGTCTGATGCTTCCCGATCATGCTCTGGCGAATGCCACCGGTGGCCGGTCGGTTGGGTCGCATCCGTCGCAACCCGTGGCTCCAGTTCCATCACTGCAGAGTAAGTGCGCTTATCCAGATTGAGTACCTCCACAATCGTCGTCTGCACGGAATTCCTCTCCGGTTGCGTTTACTTTTGTGCTATTAATACGGGGGTACATGTCACCTTATGGTTTTATTAGTGAATGCTTTTTTGCGTGGAACCTTACTTGTTAACATACTTTACACAGATGTTTGTCCCATTGTCTAGGCCCTAGGGTAGTATCTGACCAATAGTCTTGACTTATTTCAACTAAATAGAAGAGTAAACTACCATTAACCACTGCATTTTAGCTCTCATTATTTTTCATCTAACGCTCGTTTACCGAGTACCTAAAACGGTATTTTGTTGGGTTGTCAGACTCATAGGTTGGGTACGGTTTGTTCGTCACAGCTTGCGTTATCTGAACCGCGCATGATGCATGTATGCTTGGGCAGCTGTTTTTAATATGCACTTAATTGTGATAAACAGCCCCGGGACTTGGATTGGCGAAGCACATAAGGCCCCGATAGGTTAGGCGTGGTATTGAACCGGACGACAGCAGAGCTGCCTACCACCAAATTTGGGTGGCGGTGGTGGGGCTCGGACCATAGGGTTCAAAACACGCCGGTGACAGAGACTAAACCACTGCGTCACCACCACCATCCTATCTAATAGATGTGTCACTGACGTGCGCCGTTCTTTGCATTAGTTTTGCAACATGTACGTAACCGCGTTTTCATCTGTTTGAGTTCATCTTGACATCTTGTCGGCCAAGTATTGGTTGTATCTTGACAGAAATTATTTGTGCATTCTGATCTGATCGGCTACTGCTAAGTGCATTCCGTTCGTACAGCATTCATTTTTCATACAAGGGTTGTGCAATAAACTACTGAGGTGCCGTAAACCAATTTAGTTTGATAAAATTGATCGATGATTCATTATCCTGTATCCATGACCGTTAAATGAACGAAAAATAGCAGTTTGCAAGCGAGCAAAATATCACCAATCTCTACCGAAGAATGCACATATGCTGTGTGGGCTTTGTGCGGCGCGCATCAAAAGATTAACAATCACGAAAGGTTATACAGTATGTGTTTTGAAACAGTGATTTTTTCGGCGGAGTCACTCAATTCGTGTTGGGTTGGTTATTTCCGTGTCTGGCAGTTGGTCCTACACAATGTTACGCTCCGCAACTTTTCTGCTCCCTTATCTTTCTTTTCGAATGGGGTCAAAGTACAATTTTCACGGGAGGACATCTGAGGTGTCTCGTACGCACCCATGAGGCGTTTGATCTGGAACCTAGCCGCCTTGCCGTTACCATTGTACATACCCGAGAGACTACAGCTATCCAGTTGTACAGCGGGCTCTAAAAGAGCGCGTCTTATTTTTGTGATTTTAGAACATGATGCAACTTTTCAATGATGTTTATCAAATATCCCGCATACCCAATAGGACGGATGATGCTGAGCATGAAATGTAGTGTATCCAATAATAAGAGCTCCCATATTCAGTAGGGGAGGTACAGTCAAAGGATCGAACTAGACCACTGCATACTATTGCACTCAACTGGCAAGTCTAATAATTGACGGTATACGCATACAATGATCTTTCTATCATGATACCAAATGAGACCGTATACGATGCGCATTCCCATACTAATACGCCTATCTTTAAAGTATGGATGAGGTTGCCGAATAAGTTTACGTAAAGTTTTAGTCTTTCCCCGTCATCGATCAGTTGTCCTTACTTTTATCCTTCTAGGGCTAAATTGGTTACATCGTGAATTGTTATGAAGATCACAATAAGATCTTACAGACGGGTTCCACGTTTTCTGTTGCTCACTATTGTTATACCATTCATATGATTAGCTGTTGGTTGGTGGTATTTGATCGGAGGAAGTTGCCGACACGATGAAACTGTAGATGTATTAGTTATACAGTGTTTTTCAAAATGAAAGTTCGTTGACTGCAATAAAACGGGCCATTTTGAACTATTCGATTGTTGAACGTAGGTGACGCTCATTCATGATTTGCTGATGGGAGAAAAATTGCTGGGTTGCTCAAGCCAGAACAAATGGTTTTTCACAATAATTAGCATGTAAACGACGTGACATTCGTGAACTTACAAAAGATTACCAGAAACGCATACCCGACGAATGGTGAGTACCACAAAGCGGTCGTGTGCTTCCAGAAAGATGTGTCGAGTCATTCGCATACTACTTATTGTAGAATGTCCCTAACGTCACGTTTGTTGTGGTTAGTAGCATCTAACCCACCTACAAAACATATATATCATATTATTGATTCATCAATAAACTAGTTTCTGAAAGAGCGGTCCAAATATATCCGGCGTTATATATATATATATATATATATATATATATA